CTGGTACTGTGCCGTACTCATGACGCTGAAGCCGACGTGCGTGTCAAGTCTAAAGCCGACGTGCGTGTCACGTCTGAAGCTGGCGTGCGTGTCACGTCTGAAGCCGACGTGCAGGTCACGTCTGAAGCTGGCGTGCGTGTCACGTCTGAAGCTGGCGTGCGTGTCACGTCTGAGGCCGACGCGCATGTCACGTGTGAAGCTGACGTGCTTGACTACCTTTTCCTGACGCAGGATTGACGTGTTTTGAAGCCGTGCACACGCTCCGAGGCGTATATATACTGCGCTTTCCAGAGCATCGCCAGTTCAATTCACCGGCAGGCTGCTAGTGAGTCGGTAGTCAGCCAGTCAGTCGGCGCGGAGCCGAAAGAAGAGCTGCCGCGAAGAGGAAGCACACAACGCAAGGTACAGCACCGCGACCACCACCGACGACCGCTGCACGGAATTGGCATCTCCCTACGGAGGTTGTGTTGTTTGTTCTTGTGGGACTCGTAGAATCCAGTGGTCGAACAGTGGGAGCGTCCCGCGTGACGGGGGAAAACACATGTTACTGTATCTGGGTGTGAAGGTGGGGAAGGAGACCAAATTCTAACGAAATTCTAACGAAATTCACAAGAGGGCAATCTGAATTCGGAATAAAGGTAGCCGCCAGGCTTTGCCGTAGTTACTAACGTATAGCGCAAGAGAAACAGTAACAAGTGAAGTTTGTGTCATTATAATATCACGCTGTTTTAATATCTGTAATATCGACACGATTTTTTCTCATCACAGCGAACGATAACAGTTATTATTAGTAAATATATGAATAAATATTATTAATGACTCAACAGGTAAACAAACAGTCAAAATCAGTTAACATTGGTCAGCGCTGCTCCGATGTCAGCGCCATCTATCGACTTCCGGGGATTTTACGGGCAGGATAGGTGCAGGTGGGAAAGGCTGATGGCGTGGTTGTTGCCATTTGTGCACGTGCCCGTGGTGTAGAATGGATGCACAGTCAGCCAGGCGATGTCGCAGCCACAGATCAACGGGTTATCCGTGAGATCTATATGAACGTGGTCGTCGTTGTGGTGATGGTGGTAATGATGATGATCATCCAGGTCTTCGTCAAACACATTCCTGGCGAGGGTCCTAAGATGGTTGCCAGACAGGTCGATGTACTGAAGCGAACATTGTATAGTTATTCCACCTTCCATCTTATTCAGTATTACATCCTTACTGTCCCATAGTAGGATCATATCATCAGAATTGTCTTACACCACTTTTAAACAAGTTTAAAATAAATCCGCGAGGCCGTTCTCTGGAACGAACTAGTTAGTATAGCAGAATTTTCAGGGAGTCACACGGACTCCTGCATAATATTTCAAATCAGGGGGTCCGACAGTAAATCAGGAGTCTTCGACTCTTCCAGAATCTGCCCCATGCACCCACCCTCCCACACCCTCGCCCCTCTCACTTCAATGTCTGTCAGTCCCCTGAATGCATCCTCTGCGATGTAGTAGAGGTGTTGGCTAGGCATATCGACCACACGGATGCTTTCGGTATCATCAAAGGCTCCCGGCGCAATCCACGTCAAATCGCTGCCAGTGAAGTCTAGATGTTCAACGTGGCGAAGACCAGCGAACACGCCCGGCTGCAGCGACACCAGACCATTGCCGGCTAGCTCCAGAGTTTCCAGGTTTTCGGCGTGGCCAAAAGTGCCCGGTTGTATGTAAAGGATGGCAGCAGAGGTCAAATCCAGAACCTGTAACGGGCGTAGTCAGTGTTGGCAACCGATCGATAATCGAAGGCAACAAGCGCGTTGCAGTGTTGGGAATCGGTTGGAATTTCTTTTGGAACAGTCAGTGGTGGTACCTTCAGGTTATTCATGCCGCACAGCTCATTTGGGTGGATGTACTCAAGGTTGTTTTCGGCAAGGTTAACTTCGACGAGGTCGTTCTGTGGATAGCAGGTGTCATCTCCCACCCTGGTGATGTCGTTGCCCTTCAGGCTAAACCTTACTGCAACAGGTTACATGCTTAGATTAAACACTCCACTACGGGCAAGTCTTAATTAAAAGTGCTATTCTAACAACGTATCATTTTACTGCACTGACGGTGAGGAGCTTGCAAGCTCATGTTGACATATGTACCGTCTTTAAATTAATAAGTAAAAAATACCACAAAGACAACAAATGACTACTTACCGATGTGGTCCATGATGGTGGGGCCGAAGCGCGTTGGTACAGCAGTCAGCTTCAAGTAGGAAAGCGTGAGTTCTTCCAGATGATACATCTCTTCAAAGGAGTGTTCATGCAGCACTGGCGCCACCCCGTCGTGGTGACTGTCATCAATCTTTAGCGAGCCGTGTTCAAAGTGCAGGCCGTCAAAGACGTGCTCGGGCACCTCCTCCATGTCATAGAACCCATGCAGCTCGATGCTAGCGTAGGTGACGTCACGGGGCACCCCCGCCATGACGCTGAACGCGTCGCTGCTGGACATATCGTGACCATCGCAGACGATGTTAGGGTAGCCGCTGTGCGGGCCGGTGCATGTACACTCTTCCAACACGTGCCACGACGGACACGGAGGGTCGGGGTGTGGGTGAGCGTGAGTGACGGCGAATGGCACGGCCGCCCACGAGAGGTGACAGCTTGCACAATCGTTTGCTTGTGTAACTCTTGTGTCTCTTTAATAACCGAGAAACGGAACGTAAGGATCGCAGCCTGGTTCTAATACGCCCAAGCCAGTAGAGTAAGACGAATACAGGCAATACTGATGATTCACTAAAGGCGAATATAACAACCGTTCGCTTCGAATGAGAATCTTTACTAAATTACTACACATCTACAGTTCTATATGGTTACGTCCTGATCGTGTCACTCTTGACAATCTACTCTAACGGTATACAATACTAACCAAGAATCTCGAGAAATACTCGCAGAATCTTTAACTAAGAGTCCTAAGCAGCACGGCGTTTATAGGTGCGTAGTCCTCAGAGAATTATCACTCATAAAATAGAATGTAACACGTGCTTCACCTTACGGGCGGCTCTGCTCCTGAGTCCACCTGACTTGCTGATCAACGTTGACTGGCTTTCTATCGGCGCTAAAGCTCACTATTTATACGCGCCAGTCGGCGCTTTTTAACCTACACGTGACGTGTCATTAAGGTACCGTAATGTCACATCAAACCTGGCTCTGGCCGTGTGGTGGTTTTCAGTTGGAACCGCTGTGTGATTGGCAAGTAAGATGAGATTACCGTGTCACTGTGCTCATCTACTAATCCGGTCACGTGATTGGGTCACTACTGCTGGTGCGCGCGTCCACGTTTCAATATCGAAATAAGATAGTAAGATAGATAAAACAGTTTTATTTATGCAACATGTTACGAGGACCTCACACACGCGGAGGAACAAGCTATGATGCTACCATTTGGGAGTTCCTTATTTTTACTTTTCACCGCCTGAGATTTTTCCGCACTAACTGTTTATTTCAGCTTTTTTTTTGATTCAACACGACCAGCATCTCAACAAACACTGCAGCTGCAAAATTCGCACACCTGACAGCTTCCTAACTTGCACATTTCTCATTCATCTGTATTCACAATAGAACAATAACAATAGCTCTTCCGCCGACCGGGAACCCACGAATGCCCGATTTATTGAACAAACTCCTGCTTCTACAACAATACAACAATAATAACAATGACTTATGCACATACTGTGGTTATCACGTCCCATGCAGAAGCAAGATACGGCAACGTGCCAGGTGTTGCGTGTCCACCTGTTATGTATGATGCACTGTCTCCAGTAACGTGTCCTGTGTTAACGTTGTCCACGTTATGTGTGCCATGCAATCCTGTCCCAGTAACGGGTACTGTGTTACGTGTCCACGTTATGTATGCAAAGTGACTGTCCCAGAAACGTGTACCGTGTTACGTTGTCCCATCGTTATGTATGCCTGCTCAGTGTGTGTTCAATTTACGTGTTGCGTTATATGCGCATGCATTACGTTCTCAGTGTAAAGGCATACCAATCGAGTCGCGGTTACTATACGCCAGATAGCAATTGGCGGGAACCGTGTTCACGTTACTCGTGCCACGCATTGACGGCTATGTCTCATACAATCCCGCCGATGTTATCGCTGGGTTAAAGCTGAAACAGCGCTCCTTTAAAACTTCTCTGTGCCATGTTACTGGGTTTCTGATTTTTGAAATTGAGATTGTATATAATCATGGAACTTTGTGATAATCATCATCGAGTTTGGTTTACCTCAAGAACGCCTATCACGTAAATATATCACCACAAGCCTTGTAAATATTATTGTTTAGAAGTGTTAAGCGGCCTCGGTAAAGCCCCATGCAGAGAATTCAGGCTAGCGCGTTCCAGGTAAGCAAGCAACGAGCTGATCTTCAGTAAAGCCCATTGTTTCGCCAAAAAGTTCATGCCCACAAACTAACAATAACCCAGCGTAAATTTCCTAAATCTTCTTGCCATATGGATTGATAATTTTCATCGGGATTTCTAATAGTTCCACATGCCTAATAAAGCGTTATCTCAGTTAGATCTAAATTAAGTTAAGACAAATAGACTTATACTCGACGAACATTTTTTGTACAGTGGTAAGTTATTTTTAACTTAACTTGGATCTAACTGAGAGTGAGATAAACTTTATTAGCATGCTCTGCTTCCCACATAGCTCCTCGCCCAGGTTACTAGATTTCCCTACGGTCCCGCCACGTTTATAGATCCACAACTCGCAACACAATGAACGAAGTGGCGTGCGAGGCACGTCTGGGTTTCAATAGATATTTAGGAGAACATTTCCCTTCGATTTATTGAGAAAAAGGAATTGAAAATTTAAGCAGCTTTGGTATCTTTTAATGTTTATTGTGAGCGAATGCTTTAGAATGAAGCGAGTCGTGTGTAAGATGCTACGCTAATCATAATGGCATTCGTGGAAAGTTAAAGTAGTTGCAATGTAATAGTATACCATACAGTCGCTTTAAAATGTAATTTTCCCATTGATGAAAATATTCGAATATACGTAAGCTGATGGTGAGTCAGCAATGGCATAAACAAACGGGCAGTACATGAAATTATCCAAAATGTGAACAGGCCCACCTAAAATTTTAAACAGGCCCTTAGACAAATTGAACAGGCCCTTATTTTGTTCAATTTTTTTCATTATTAATAAAAGTATTAGCTTTGTATTTATTATCCATACTCGTAGTATTTCAGTATTTCATTGCTATCAGTGTAGCTCTACTTGTTTGACAGGAATTACTTGAACATGATTTACTTCTTAGTAGTCACCAAGTAAAAACTAGTTGATATAAAGCCAAGACAGGCAAGTGGACTGATTATATGGGGGGTTGAACCGGCGGTTTAGGGGGTTGAACCGGAGGCCGCCGGCAAAATAGCGCTAATTTCGGGCACTGGACGGGACGACGGAGTTACGGATGCGCCCACTGACCCACCGAAGTCCAAAACGGTAATCGAGGGCGAAAAGAACGGAGACACTAGATACAAAATCGCCCCGCCAAAGAATTTGCATTTACGGAGGAATAATTTCTATAAAAATATGAAGTAGTTGTTAACCTCACCGTTAAGTGTCTCGTGTGTGTTGTCTTTCCGCGTACAGTGCATTTAATTACATTCTTAATTCATTCATGATTTATATCCATGTTTTTACATGGTGTTACGTCGCTGCAGTAAGGTAATAGAAGTACGAGAAACAGAACGTTCGTAAGAGAAACAGTAACAAGTGAGTTTGTGTCATTATAATATCACGCTGTTTTAATATCGGTAATATCGACACGATTTTTACTCATCACAGCGAACAATAACAATAGTTATTATTAGTAAATATATGAATAAATATTATTAATGACTCAACAGGTAAACAAACAGTTAAATAGTGCAATTTAAAATCAGTTAATTAATCAACGTATGTTAACGCTGCACCGACGTCAGCGCCATCTATCGACGTCCTAGGTTTTCACGGGCAGGAGAGGTGCAGATGGGAAAGGTTGGTGGCGAAGTTGTTGCCATTTGTGCACGTGCCCTTGGGGCAGAATGGATGCACAGTCAGCCAGGCGATGTCGCAGCCACAGATCAACGGGTTACCTGTGCACAGAGAATAACAGAGAGCAGGATTAAGGTTTGCTCACGCTTTCAATGTTAACAAAGCGAATAATAGAGCATGAGGAGGTCGACGTGGCAACCAGCAGGGACGTATCATGTGCCGAAACTGCCGCGAACGTCAAGCTGAAGTAAGTGGAGTTGGACTCCCTACGTAGCGAAGGACAGGGAAGCATGGCGATGCACGTGCGCTGGCTGGCCCGTGCAACGTTTCCGGCATGTTCACGGAAAGCCGTAAGGTCGATGCGGAGCGTGGGATCTTTTGCTTACCCAAGCTCCGGGGGCATCCTTTAGTGTTCGTTACTCGCCACGAGCCAAGAGAACGGGGAGGCATCGGGCAAGGGTTACCCTCCTCCCAGTGTGAGGCTACGCAGGTATGTCAGACCGGGTGCCGGGCACCCGCCACGGTCTAGGGTAAGTCTGTGCAGTCTGTAACCCCCCTATAAGTGTGTACGTGTAGCAGCGTACGTGTATGTAGGTAAGGAGAGGAGTAGTCCCTCCCCTGCATGATGGTTGTTCCCACATATATCTCATCCCTCCAGTGAATCTCTATTTCTGGCCATCAACCCGAGTTGACTCACACTCAGGTGATCGCTGGCGGATAGGCACGCAGGCGCTAACCCATTCACCTTGAGTCATGGAAGCAGGCGACCGCACCGCAAGGGTAGACTGGAAGCATGTATGCGTGGGGATGCTCCGCATAGGCTCTAGCACGCCCTGCCATAACGGGTAGCCTCGGTATACCTCGAGGCCCCCGTCCGTGGAAAGCACCCATAGGTAAGGAATGCGCTACTGATGTGGCTGCGGCCGAATGTTCGTTAGCGCCCCAGTTGGTCGAGTCTCGCGGGCGAGACTCGAAAGGCGGAGGGGGGTAGTGTAACGAATTTCGGTCTGCCGCAGCGTCACTTCCCCGCGTTCTACCCCCTGCAGTCTGCCTGGCCAGCCGGTCCTTGGGTGATGTGGTAACGGCAATGGGTACAGGGGCGGCACTGGGTGAACCGGACCCACAGTGCGACCGGCTGCACGGAAATTGGCATCTCTCACGTACGGGAGGATCGGTCAGCGGGTGAAGCGCTGGCGACCTAGTTGTATCTGGTTTGTTATACCCGGGGTTGACTGTAGCGACGTGCGAGGATAATTGGAGCACCGTGCATTATATGTTCCGGCAGGGGTGGCAATCGCCGGATGTTGGACAGGGCGGAATAAGAGCCCCGGGCCTATTCACCGCGTGGAACACTTTTATTTTTTAGTTGTGTTGTTTCGTTGCTTGGTGTGACTCGTAGACAAGTTCCAGAATGGTTGGGCAACGAACAGGTGGGGAGCGGTCCGCGGTGGCCGTGAGTGGCAGTGTGGGCAGACTTGCAGGAAAAACGTTACTTATTTTTATAATATGATATATAACTATATATATCATATTATATATAGTACATATAATATATATATCATATAATATTATATATTTTTATAAGTTGCACCGTCATAGATTA